GACATCTGCTCTAATGGAAGAACGTTTAACAGACATTAGTCGTATTTTATGATAATCTTATTGATTTTGATCTAAATAGTGGAATATCACATAAATGGCTCGATAAGTAGATATCTTCCATTGAAGATGCATTCATAGCTGTAATATGGATTTATCTATGCATTTAGCGAATCTTCATTTGGAGACGGTGTATATATACTAAAGGAGTCAAAATGTTGCTCATATCCTATTCATCCCACATATTTCAATTTCATGAAGAACATTTCAATTTATGCTTCCACAGGAATTCACCGTGATACAAACATTGTTTGTTATATCTGTCGTGAACTATCAGAGGGTGTCTACGAACCAAAACAATACTAACTCAATTTGCTTTTTTCACATAAAGACTTACCATAGGAATCATTTGTGCATCTCTCAATTACTTGCACTTGATAAACACATCGATCAATTATCACCTATACCTTATCTTATCTCACAGATTGTTATTAATCCGTGAGTGCTGACGATATAATCTATCAACTTTCACTGATAGGGTATTGGCTGTCGACATATCGTCTCTCCTTGATAAAATATCCTTTGAAATCATTTTGTTGCGACATATTAGAGCAGTTTCTTAAGAGTTGAGATTTGCTTGTCATTCTTCATTGTTGCTTGAATTCCTAACAAATATATGCTGTATCGTTGCTTCAGTGGGCGAAACTGGCAAGCAATTTCAGATTGCGATTACTTCATTAGATTAGATTTCATATGGTCGTAGACCTTTGTTTTGAAATTGTTAACTTGACATTGAGGGAGTGATAATATGTGTGAGGTTCTATGTTCATCATCGTATTTCGCAATATCTTTGATTATATTTTTGGCATTTGAGCTAGATTTCTCATGTTTTCAATAATGTTCCACTTTCAGTTCCACGACTTCTAAAGTTTGGTTAGAATGTGGCCAGCGATTCCTTTGAACATTGTTATTATTTTATCGTTATGTGAATTATCGTTTCTTGTTGACTTCAATAACGCTCAGCCAGATCCACGGTTGGCCGCTGGTGAGATTGAGAGTTCTACAGAAAGTGGTGAGTTGAATTTTGAGGGAGATTGAATTTAGTGGAGAGTTCAAAAAGTTGAAAGCCGCAATTAGTATACAATCAAATGAATTACAAATATTGTCCTGTCAGTCGGATGGCCAAAATTTATCATCAGTCTCGTATTCGTATATATAGTCATGAAACTAGTAACTATAGACACACTAACAAATTTTTTGATGATACGGATTAATAAGGTGTCTGAACGATATTCGAGTGCTATGATATCGAATCTGAATTGATAATAAGAACAGTGATAATAGCAGTAAACGATGATAATAATAGTACTAGTAATATCAGTAATATCAATAATATTAATATTTCGTATTTAGATGAGCCAGAGTGTTCCTTATCGAATATACGTCAAATGCTTGGCCATGATGACTTCTCATTGCTGGGCATCTCGGCGAACTGCCTGATATTCTTCGTGACTGGTGACGAGATTGCAGAGGGTCACTTCGATTTATCACGGATTACTGACAAACCTGGCAAATGCAAAGATCCGAAACCAATCTTTTATAAGCAAGATAATGGTCAGTAGTTCAACTTTTGGTTGGTATAATGGCATGAGTCTATCGTCATTTCATGAAAAGCCAACGAATAAAATTTTCTGAGGAACTGACCGTAATAACATTATTGTTGTAGATTGTCTACGAAATTTTCACACATTTTGATTCAAAAAATCCCCAAATACTATAAAATTACCCCAAAAATGACTACATCCAAAGTCACATTTCTGTAAACAAAAAAAAGGTAATCAGCCATAATCACTGAAATCAATCCACAAACAAACAAAGACCTTGCAAATAATATTATGTATTCCGTTCATTCGAACGAAAATTCTTCATTTCATCACCAGCTAGTGAAATCGCCCTATTGATGAGTACATCAGAACATAGATATTTCATAACGTTTGATGCAAATGGTCGTCAAACTTCGGACATATTCACTGAAAACTTCAAAAAGTCAAAAAGTTTGCTAATTGGTGAAGATCAATTTGAGGGTACGATGAAAGTAAGGCTGTTACGCAAGAACTGACACAGCTCAACTTTATGATCATACAAAAACCTCTTGTGTTCATGTTGAATTTTGGGTATTCATGTGGAATTTCAGAATACAAAATTCTGGTTGCTCAGAAGAAGTCAGTTTACACTTCGGGCTGTAAGTGGGAAGAGCACCAATCTTATCACAGCTGCAAGTTCAGTCGATCGGCATGGATGAAAAAATCGGTAGCTCCAGATGGAGACGTTGATGAGATTATCGGGCACGTAACAGACCTGAATACAGATATTTTACATATTCTCTACACCAACGGTAATAACTCTTTATAACTTAACATCCATCATAACACAATCCATTCATCCTAACAATCAATATCGCTCACGTTGTCATTGAGTGAGATTTGTTTTGTAAATGAAAAAAAACACCAGACAGAATACCATCTGATGTGAATAAAATTTACAAAATATTGCTATCCACCCTTCCATTCGACAAATACGTTCCCTTAAGTAACCATCTCCACGTTAATCTCCACATGAACAACATCATCTTATCATCTATATTTTACAAGTATTAAGTTGATTTGCCTCAAAATGAATGCAATTATATTAATCGTAAGGAAAAGTGTTTGAGTCATCATCATTTCAGAAGAAGCTTCGATGTTTGATGCTATGTACAATATATCATCACAAAATTTCGTCGCTACTGCAAAAATTGATGAAGCCAGTTTCAAAATCAGTTCATTCGATTCGGATTTAATGGTCAGTGACGACTTCGAAAAACTTCAGACTATTTGATCTTATTGATACTGATAGTCTCCTCTATAGTCAATCATTTCTAGTATGTATAGAGTTTTGTACTAATAATGAGCAAATACCTAGCTGTTCTGCTTAGCGCAAACGAATTTCAAGTGTTATTTGAAGATTGGATTGCATATTTCAGCGCATTTACTATGAAGCGGATAAACTGGGTTACGAGAACGTGCAGAGTGACCGTGGTATATTCACGTATGATGCAGATCACAAACAACTTCTACATTTCAATGAATCTGATTTTACGCATTTTTCATTCAGTAATCAATATTATGTTGTCAAAAAGGTACGGTTATTCAGTAATATTAATGTGAATATCTCGTCCATGTGCACTATCAATATTTCAATGATGTAAATAAGAAAAATAATAGTAACAATATGTAAAAATGCAATTTAGACCATCTTTTAGAAGTCTTTTTGATTAGAT